GCTCCATTTCAAGCTGCTATTTTGGAACTGAGCCAAATGTCCGAAAAGATCCTTTTTATTGTGCCTGGGCATGATCTGAAGGGTGAACGACTCAACTCTTTAATGGTCGAACTTATCTACTAGACGAGTATGAGAATAAATCAGGTTTCTTCCCTTGAAGTAAACAGTATTCATCAATATGAACAATGAGCATAAATTATACACGATTCCTCACTAACCTCAACAATTATGCACATTTCTGTGACCTTCACTTCTTAAAAATATTTAACTGTTGACCCTTTTCTCATTTGAATAATAATTATAAACATCCTTGAGTGGAGCTTTGGAGGGCTGCTTGACTTTCACCTCACCATCCTGTAATCCCCCCTCATTATCCAAATTCACTAAATGTTCCCGACCCGGCACGGGAAGAAAATGACTTAGGGATGTGAGAGTCCGCCCTCCGATCCTGAATCGTGTTCCTGGCACCGACGCTGAGGCTGACTGGTGCATGGCCGTGTTTGCTGACATAGCAGATGCAGCTTCACTCTTTCTGAGGGGCTTTGTTCCATCACTGCCGGATGATTTATTTAAACTCGGCTGCAGAATTTAGGTTTGAACTCCCTGGTCTGGAAGCTTTTTATTCCAGCATGAATACATAAAATGTGAACACTAGAGCTGCTTATGGGACGGTTGTTTGTGCTAATGGTGAAAGAGCTGTTATCACAAACAGCTGCTTTTTCTCTAAACAGCTTAGCACAGACGCAAACATGTAATAGTGTGTTTTTTTTTAAACAGACTGGCTTCTCCTCCACACATCCCTGGGAGTCTACTAGCATGTGGATGGCTCATAAAAAATTACAGGATGTTTGAACTCCAGCTTATTAACTGACTTTAGAGTTCCCATGTGAGGGTCTTTAGCTACCAACACCAATGTCAGCTAAACACAAAAAAGCTACTTTCAAATCAGAAATCTGGAGTTTGAGGCACAGAATGAGTATAAAAACTAGAAAGCTCATCGGATCAGTACTGAAGAGCAATGATCAGAAAAAAACAACACTTCAGATGCCTGCTAGAAAGGCAGCAAGTACACACACATCACATCTGCTGATCAATATCCCCCGGCTCAGAGTTTGGAAGGTTTCTGAATATTAAACAACTGTGGGAAACTTATCCAGGCACATTCAAGGCCAGGGCAGATAAAGCTAGCACATTAACCCATTAGTCCTACCTAGGAAATGAAGGACTTCTTGTTTTGTTGACACAAACGTCTGAACCACCAATAAAGATGGGAGCGGGCGTTTATCTCCATTGCATCTGTCCTTTGGAATGCCCTTCCCATCTCCATACAACAGTCTTCATCTGTCTCAATCCAAGTCAAGACTGACGACTCATTTCTATGACTTTGTTTTTTGGATTATGACCCCTTCCCCTTTTTATGCTTGTTTTTACTGTCTTGTGCTGTTTTATTGGTTGTTTTACTTGTTTTTTACTGGTTGTTTTTATGAACTGTTTTATTATGACCTTCTGTAAGGTGCTTTGGTCAGCTCTAGCTGTGTTGAAATGCACTGTTACACATAAATTGGTATGGTATGGTAAATATCTGATTTCAGAACCACCTTTGTACAAGGAGAGGGCTTGTGATGTTCCTCCAGAAGAAAGAGGCTACTAGAGATGCATTTGGTGAAATTCTGGCGATGCGATATGATACATATCACAATACATGGCAGACGATACAATATATCACAATATATTGTGATATATTCAGTCAGACGATACTAGCAATTCTTTAGACTGAATTTATTGCAGGAAAATTCAATAAACAGTCCAAACTGATGCTTAACATTTTAATGTGAGGTATCTGAACCATAATAGAGGGATTTACATTTCAATGGTGGAAACAAAACCCATTGCACACTGCTGCCAACTAGTGGTCGGCATTTGAATTGCACCAAAATAAAATAAAATACACAAATGTTTGCATGTTAATTCTTTCAAAAAATTAGATACACAGCTTTTGAATATTGATATAATATTGCAGAAAAATATTTCACGATATATTACCATATTGATATTTTCTTGAATCCCTAGGGACTACGGATGTGTACAACTGGTGGGAACACTAAAGGACAGAGAAGACAAGGAGTTTCTGAGATGCACCAACAGATGATATCATCCTAATCTGGAGGATATTGACTTGCGCTTTAAGAACATTTTACTGAATGTTGTTTAGAAACCTCGAACATCCTCACAGCTCAATGGCAGAAGGTAAACGTTTTCCTTCTGCTTCATGTTTATCAGGTAAAAATAGACTGAATGTTGTCCAGAATCACTTCTCACCCAAAAAAATTATGTGCTGCCAGGGCAGCTAAAATGTTTATTTTTTTCATATGAAAGCTACAACGATGCTGTTCCAGACCCTTTCAACCCTAAACTTAAGCTACACTAGAAGCTTTTACACAAACATGCAGTAGGGAATGTAAAGAATACATTTAATTTACCAAATAATTCACATAAAAGATCTGCAGAGGGAAACGTTACTTTAACTTTAGTTTTGATCATTTTTAAGATCAGATATGTTTCATCACACACCAATTCATAGACATATAAAAGAGTTTATTTATTCATCATGCTGTCATTTAGCAAAATATGCATGAAAAGGTAAGGTGAGAGTGTGCCTATTCACATCATAAAAATCATGGTGTGGGTTAAAATCAACAAATAATCAGAATCACTATTTTAGGCCTTTAGCAACAGGTTTCCAATTTGGCACAAGCATTTTAGAAACCTGACCTGCTTCTACCGAAGTGGCGCGTCAACCAACGGTCTTTTAAAATTGTACATTTATTGAAAACATAGCTACAAGTCTCCATGCAGCATATTTTAAAATGTGTCTAACGCATTTGTAAAGAAAAACCAGATGAGATTCGGTTTTTACATCCGTGGGACTCCACCTAATGAGCAACGCCAGTTGGGTCAGACAATCTGCGATCTTACTAGAAACCATCCTGCAGTGAAAAACATCTAGTGGCATTTTTACTGGCGCTCCACTAAAGCCTCGTGGGTAAACTTTAAGAAAGCATCTCTGTAAATAGAACGATCTGGTAGCATGTAGCGTCTGCTGTCACATACGGGACGCTGTGAAGCTCTGCTTCTGTGGCGAGTTGTATATGAGGGTCCCTCCAGCCAGCCATTAGTCTGAGCTCCGTCACTTTGTCAAATCCCCCAGCATTCATCTAGCTTTCTGAGCGGATCCAAGCGAAGACCCTCTGACAGTCAGCGAGCGCCTCCACTGCACACATCATTGATACTAATGGGGACAGAAGACTGCTGTAGTGTAGAAGGGTGTGTGTGTGTGTGTGTGTGTGTGTGTGTGTGTGTGTGTGTGTGTGTGTGTGTGTGTGTGTGTGTGTGTGCACAAAGTAACCAAAGTCAGGATTAGACAAGTGGAGCATGTGTGGCTGCTCTGCAGCACAGAGATCAATTCATGTCGCTGCAGCAAATGGTATGACAACCAGTCTCCTCCCCATCACCATCTGCCTCCTTTGTGCCAATTTGTCACAGAACATCCAATTGTGGCGATGCCCTCGTTTAGCATTCAACGGCAGCACAACTTAGGTAAAAACTTGGGGGCGGAGCATGAGGAGAAGGAGAGAGTAAGGGCATCAACAAAAAAGGCAGGCAGGAGAGGGCAGCTGGAGTTCATCAGAGGTCAAAGACGACAGAGACAATTACACAAGGGAAGAGGTTTGAAGGACATAAGAACCTGAGTTTCAATCTGGATGTTCCCTGCTATGGTTCTCTTTAACAGAGACTTGAAGGTCAAACACACATGAAACACTGATCATATGAGCCTGAAACAGAAACAGCTGCTCTCCCTGTGTGAATCTGATAAAAACAGAAAACATCTTTCATCAACTTAAACATAAACATGGATCACGAACAAGGATCATGTGGACATGGGGTTAGGGTCATGTGGACAATGAGTCTATGTACGGTCTGTTAACGATCAATAATTTACTTTTAACAGGATTTTCAAAGAGCTGTCTCAAGTTCTGCCTCCTGCACAAAGATCTTTTCAGGGTTTTTTCTCTCCTCCAGCGAGTGGGCCAGGAACAAACGTTCATACATCCAAACTTCCTTCATAGCACTATGGACATGCTGCCTGCATTATTAAGTGAGTGGGTGACAAGATATGAAAGCAATGCCCCCCCCCCTCTCTCTCACACACTTGGCACCATAATTCATCTATTCAGCTCAGTGGTCTGATCATGTTTCACGCTTGTGCGCCCGTACCGACCGCAATTCAGCACCATTCTACCTGCTTTGATACGTCTTTATGTCACCGGAGACAGGCACAACATAATGACAGTGCCCCCCCCCGATGCCAGTGATACAGACCAGCGCCAAACAACTCATTCCTTCACACCAACCCTTCATCATCAACTAACAGGTATTGTCTCCCTGCTGACAGCATGGTGGGCTTCAGTTGGCTGTGACTGATGCAGAACTTTCTGGACCGGTCCCGGGCACCACGGCCGGCCAAGAGAGGATCACAGAGCAGAGGAGCTTTGAAAGGGGGCGTGAATAAAAGCCGAGGCCAAAGTGAACGTTCAGCAACGCAAATCACAGAAAATCAGAGTTTATCGGGACAAAGCTTCTGCTAGTGTGTGTAAAAACCCGTGCCCTGCTCAGAGAGCAAACAAACCAACAAATGTTATTTTTTAGCTGGTAGCTGTGTTAAAAACTGTTCATGACAAATTCAATCAAGAATTTAATGAAGCAGTTCAAATACATTTATAAATATCATTTTCTGATGCTTCAAGTCAGCCAATGTTGTTCAGGTATGATAGTTCTTATAGTTTTCAGGTTGTTTTTCTGCAGCTACCCAGACAAACAGTTTCATTCAGACAGTGGAGCCACAGCGTGCTGGAATATTAAAAACCTTCCTTGTCCAGATTTGTGCAAAAACAATTTGGTCCAATGGCATCATGGAGTCAAAGAAACATCAGGGATCTTACGTTTTAGTCACGTCCTCTGATGCGCTACCAGCACTCCTGCTTCTCCAAGGTAGTAACCTCTCAGAAGGACGAATGAGGCGCCGAGCCGTCAGAGGCGAAACCCCTCAGAGGTTCACCTCTGGGAGAGTTCGGTCTTCAAACACTTCCTGCGAGAAAACAGAAAACAGCATGAGAACGGACAGCACGAGAGGGACAGCTGCTCTGGAGGGTTTGTCTCTTTCTTCTTAAACAGCACCAGTAACACTGAAAAGCCCGATGGAGACGAGCTTCATGTCATCTCAGTGTATTACCCTCAGTCACTGTGCTGTCATAACATCGTAGCTAACACCTGCACCGCAGCCATAAAGAGGGCCAGATGTGGTCAAAGGGACCTTTATTGTTCAGGACGACCCCAAGATAAGTCTTTTTTGTGTCCTTTTAGTTTTCCATCTTCTGTAGAACTCAATAAATACATCCAATGACTTGACAAATGCACACGTGCATGAGTTCATGCATCATGTGCTTCCTGTGCTAAAACTTCTGCCCATTTCAGAATTTCAATACATGAGACGGTACGATATATATCACAATACAGGAGAAATACGATATATATCACAATACAGGAGAAATACGATATATATCACAATACAGGAGAAATACAATATATATCACAATACAGGAGAAATACGATATATATCACAATACAGGAGAAATACGATATATATCACAATACAGGAGAAATACGATATATATCACAATACAGGAGAAATACAATATATATCACAATACAGGAGAAATACGATATATATCACAATACAGGAGAAATACGATATATATCACAATACAGGAGAAATACGATATATATCACAATACAGGAGAAATACGATATATATCACAATACAGGAGAAATACGATATATATCACAATACAGGAGAAATACGATATATATCACAATACAGGAGAAATACGATATATATCACATTGAGGGTTTCCCCCAGCGCTGTAGAAGCCTGGCGGGCCGCCAGGCTTTGCTTGCCCACCCGCCAGGCTAAGCTTATTAATCCAAGTTATGTTTACTTTAAACTATTAAGCTGTATAACATCATAAATCTTCCAAAACTATCGTAATCTTATTTAGAGGCTAGGTTTCCCACCCGTGCTTTGGAGATCTTTGCACATTATTACCTTTGTTCTCAGCAAACTGATAAAACCCAGCTGGGTTTAGCCCTCTGGAGGCAGGCGTTGTAGATTTGCAACGTTAAAATCTACCTACTCCACATACGTATTTCACGAGCATTTTTTAACTCTGAAGTACCCCTGAAGGACTTAGTTGTTCGTCCTTTTATCAAAACTTATTTTGAGCCTGAGAGGGTTAAGCAGAAGGGCTCTGTTAGCTGTGCTGTCGCTCTTTACTCCTGGATGACTAATGGGAATCACCCCAAGGATTTCATGTAACGAAGCTCATTCCCAGAAAAAACCGTGCCTTTTAAATCTGCATGTGTGCACCAGCAATCACAAGACACCCAAGCAAGGAGGGCGGTAGACATCGTGACTGCTGAGCTACCTCAACCAAGGATCGAGTCTGTCCACACTGCTGTCTAAATCCCTCCTGAATGAGGCAGCTGACTGCAGCTGCTGTGATCTCAGCTCCACCATCATTGCACCGTAAAGCCACCGAGGGTCTATAAATTCTTAACAACCCTGGACCTTCATAAATTAAGCTGAGCTTTGTGACAGCTTCAACATGCCGGTTTGTGCCAACTTAACCTGTGCGCCGGCTAGAGGGGAAGCAGCTATAAACTGGGAACACATGGCTGGATAGTAAAAATGTTATGGCCACTGTGCCAAATGACACCACGTCTCAGTCATGGGTAGAAGACTCGTTTACCCACAGTTGTCCACTTTTCTGCCTTCCAGCGCAATAAGTCGCATGGAAGACCGAACTCAACATTTTATCTTGTTAAAATTATTACAGTCAACATTTTTTAATACATCGACACCTAAAATGAGTTTCAAAACAATTTGTGGCATAAACAAAAACAGGGTCTAACAAAATGGTCAAATCAGTTTTAAAACTACAAAAACTCCTCTGCAGTTCTTTCTAACTGTGAGGTTTCCAGAAAAATAGCAGCATTTTCACTAAAATTGGCCCTTCCAGGACTTTGCTAAGACATCAGCATATCACCGCTGCTTCAGGATTCAGTCATGTGGTGGTGATGAACATCAAACATCAAAAGTTTTGTTCTGTCAAAGTACGCTTTAATTTAATCTATTTGGAGACCCGGAGAGCGCCTATGTGACGTAGAATGCGGCAGACATTCACCAGAAGAAGTGCCGTTTATTACGAGTTCTGTAGGGCCACAAAGCTCCGTGAATTGTGGTGTTAACAGGGAGTTTACACCACATTTTTCATTGTTAGAATTTTAGAAACATAATATTAAAGCTGCATGAATGTCGCTTATTTTATTTTCTTTCTATTCAGCTACAACAGAAAGTCTTCCAATTTAAATACTGCCGGTTGTTTGGCAACATCTGCGGATGTAATTTCCTAGTGAATAGCCAATCAGCATGACTGAGTCCCACTCGGCAAGTCTACCATACCATAGTTCAGGTACTCTGTTGATTCCTGAAATGGCCAAAAAAAGGTCCTCTCAGGCCGACCCAGTGAAATGGAGACACGCATGCCGGGAAGGTCTGGCAAAAATACCCAAAAGTTCCAATCACGGTAAAAGGCCTAATTTCTAATGAATTTCCTTGGTTTGCAACAGTTTAGAACATTTCTATTTGGGATGCACCAGAACCTCAGCCACCGAAAAATGACACTTTGCTGAAAATACACCTAATCACTGAAACAACATAGCAGAAATAGAGCATCAGGTAAACTCCGTTTTCGGTTCATCTCGCTAAACCCTTGTGCGGCAACTTCATCTTTGCTTCACAAAAATCGTGCATTCGTACCGATTTCAAAAATAAAGAATTTTCCCTTTTTAGTAATAATGTTTTATTACGATTGCTGGAATATTCATTTCAACTATGTGACGCGCTTTTTACTTTCAGTTTCACATTTACCTCGTCTGCCCAGATTAAATTCTTTCTTCTTCTACATTCCTACGTCTGTCACTGTTAGCTATGTTTTTACTATCCTTCCTGCTAGGGCTGAATGACTAATTGCATATGCAATTAAATTGTGATGTGACAAAAGGAGATTTTCTGATCGCAAAGACTGAGATTTGACTGGCTGCGAGTGGTTAGTGCAATGCTAATATAAATAGAAAAACCCTTAGGGATGCTAATGCTAATATCACAAATTACATTATTACAAATTAAAAATAAAAAACGTGCCAAATTATTACATTTGGAGTCTAATAAAAAGTCTAAACTGCCATTAAACAATTAAGTACAGACAGATATTTTAGTAAAGCTAGAAAACCGTAAGAGACTAACTCCACTGAGTTTTGGCTAGCAGCTATGGATGTAACCAGAGGCGGAGCTGGCCTAAATGGCGCCCTGTGCGAGATACCCCTGTGACCCCCCCCCACACACACACGAAAAAACAGTACACCTACAACTTTGTTTCAGATTGTGTGGAGTGTATATATAACAACGTTTGCTAACTGAATACAACATCCAGCTCCTGGCCACCTTCTCACCACTTGTCAAAGTTCTACTGAAATAGACACACTTAACGCAACATGTCGGCATCATCGACTTGTACAGTACAGATGTGCTGAAAGGCGAGAGTCTCAACTTTCAGCTAAAAAAAGACCGCTCTAGCTATTATAGTTTTTATTTTATGGCAGTTTACAGTTTAAACGGGATCATACTAGCAGGGCACCTCCAGCGGCTCCGCTGCCCCTCCGTTTTTCATGGGGTAAATAATAGCTAATTTCCCGATTCCAAGAAGAAAGAATGGTCCTACCAGCTTGCCACTTCAATATGAAGAAGATCAGTTCAACATGGGGAAAAAAAACCTGACCTGTAGGCCAGAGAAATGTTCATTAGCACATCAAGTTTGATTCAGTTTACCGGTAAACATATCACGAATGTACAACAGGTCAATTATTAATCATCTTGGCTACGTAGCTCAATCTGTGCATTCCAGTAGCGTTTGCTACAAACAAATACAAAAACAACAATAAAGGAAAACAACTGTCTGACAGACAGCATAGCCGAATTCAAGGCAACACATAACAATAATCATTCGATTGCTCTTGGTTTCAAGTTAAGCCCATTAAAGTGCATAAGTAAATAAAAGTGTTTCAAAAACAGCGTTTTCGAACCGGAGTTCTGCTCGCGGTGGGAACTCCGCCGAACAAGGTCATTTTTTTATAGCGAAAACGATCGACTGGTCACTGACAAGTAAAAGGGTGTTATTGGTAGATGTTAAGAACACTTACCGCTGAGGTAAAATGAGAGTATAAATGAATTGAGGGGGAAAAAACGCTTTGTTTTCCAACACCGTTCTACAAGCAACAAGCTTACAGCCACGGCAGGAGCAGCTTTCATGGTTGCCGCAACTTGGAAGGAGCCAATCAGGAGAGGGACCTCACATCAGCTGACGTGGGTCATGTGACAGGGAGTAGTTGATATGGGTTACACTTTGTTGTGCTTTTATTACAGAAATATTATTATCATCACTATTATTATTAAGAACATGCGATTTCTATGTTTTGTTTATGTATTGGTTGATGCTAAAAAAAATTTTTTTTAGGAAAAAAAAAGGAAATTAAATGCCGCCCCCTGCAGACTGCCGCCCTGTTCGGCCGCACATGTTGCACATATCAAGCTCCGCCACTGGATGTAACTGAACTACGGAAGCTCTGCATGGAGAAGACATAAAAAACTCTAAACACTAAAGACTTCAATAAATGGGACACACTTCTTTCCTGCAAATACATTTTCACAGTTGATGCTAATACCTATGCCCCTTCAAGAGATGTGCTCCTGACTGCAAAGCATTGCACCTTCAAATTCAAAATTTTGTCTTTAGTGGTGAGTGTTTATGTTAGGGCTGGGCGATATGGCCTAAAATCAATATCACGATATATTGAGGATTGCCCTGCGTTGGACTGGCTCTCTGTCCAGGGTGTACCCCGCCTGATCGCCCATTGACCGCTGGAGATAGGCACCAGCCCCCCCGCGACCCTACGTGGACAAAGCGGGTTCAG